ACCAAAGTTGAACTTTTTGGTCTAAACGTCACTCGTCGTGTTTGGAGGAAAAAGAAGGATAAGTTACATCCCAAGAACACCATCCCTACTGTGTAGCATGGGGGTGGTAACATCATGCTTTGGGGGTGCTTTTCTGCAAAGGGGACAGGATGACTGCACTGTATTAAGGAGAGGATGAATGGGGCCATTTATTGTGAGATTTTGAGCAACAACCTCCTTCCCTCAGTCAGAGCATTGAAGATGGGTCGTGGCTGGGTCTTCCAACATGAAAACGACCCGAAGCACACAGCCAGGATAAACAAGGAGTGGCTCCGTAAGAAGCATATCAAGGTTCTGGAGTGGCCTAGCCAGTCTCCAGACCTAAATCCAATAGAACATCTTTGGAAGGAGCTGAAACTCTGTATTGCTCAGCAACAGCCCCGAAACCTGACAGATCTAGAGGAGATCTGTGTGGAGGAGTTGGCCAAAATCCCTGTAGCAGTGTGTGCAAACCTGGTCAAGAACTACAGGAAACGTTTGACCTCTGTAATTGCAAACAAAGGCTTCTGTACCAAATATTAACACTGATTTTCTCAGGTGTTCAAATACTTATGTTCAGCAGTGCAAGACAAATAAATTCTTTAAAAATCATACAATGTGATTTCCTGATTATTTTTTTTTAAATTCTGTCTCTGAGTGGGAATGTACCTACAATGTGAATTTCAGACCCCTCCATGATTTCTAAGTGGGAGAACTTGCAAAATCGCAGGGTGTTCAAATACTTCTGTTCCTCACTGTATATAGACTCAAAAAACCCCAGACATTTATGATTATGGAAGTGGGGAGGGGTTGAAAGGACCTAACTCCATTTGGAGTTCCACTTCAAGTAGTATATGCTAAAGACATCCAGGACCAGTTCATACCAAATGCAGTCCAGTGTGTTTTTAATCTGCATCAAAAATGAATGAACACGGATTCCAATGGCACAGTTCACACCAGTGCAGTGTGTTCAAGAGCAGTCAATAAACGTAGAACATGCTGCATCTTTTCTGCATGAACATGGCATAAAGCATTAAAACAAATGCACTGGAACACATCAAAATGCATCAAAAGTGCACTGGAATGCATTAGAACAAACAAAAAATGCCCCAGGAAACTTTGGAAAACAAATGTTTGCATTGAAATTGCACCAGAACACAAAAAAACGTGCATGAAGAAATGCATTTAGATCGCAAAATTGTGGTGTAAACCAGCCCTATACAGTGTTATGTTAGGTTCACACTTGTGCAGATGGTTGTGGGTGATGGGACAGCGTTTAAATTGCCTGTTCCTGCAACCAAATTGTGCTGATTCCTTTGCAGATTCAAGGGCTGCCATTCATACTTAAAGTGTTATTAAACCCCGGACCCTGCATTCACTCTGTCTGATCTCCCACAGTACACAGAACATGGAAATGCACTTCTTTTAATAAATATAAACTGCTAAATACCTTTTCTCATCAGCAGTTAGAGCAGCCTTGTGACATCTATCAGTGTTCAGCAGAGCACTGGTTACAGCTTGTAGGAGTTTTTGTTCTGCTCTAGGAGTATGCAGAGCCCCTGATCTCTGTCTGGAGAGTGCTAATGGGCCCTATGCTGATCACATGCACTCTCCCAAGAAAAATAAAAAACTTTCTAGCAATACACACTGAACTGAGCATGTGCAGAGTGTCTCCAGAGATATGTCTTATCAGCAGATAAGAGGGGGACACTGGAAGAAGGGGAAGATCAGAGAAATCCGGATCAAACAGCGTTTTTACACAATGCAGAGGATTAACCCCTTATGTTTCACAGTGAGTATAACAAGCACGCTTTACTGCATACACAGACTGTTTTTATTGTTGTTTAACCTCCCTAGCGGTCTGATTATGTCCATATTTCTGTGCTCAAAGCGGTACATTTTTTTGCATGGAAATATATCGTTTTTTTATTGTAGGCCTGTAATTTTTAGGAATAACTCACTGAAATCTGTCCGGACAAGAGTCTAGTAAACATTCCGGGTATGATAAAATTTGAAACACGAAATCATAAATTATAATTTAATAAATAATCATAAAAAATAATAATATAATAATAAATTTAATTCAATAATATAACCAAACCAAAAACACTGAAATTTGAAATATAGCGCCAAGTTTGCACATCACTGAGCAAAGTCGCAAAATCATTTTCAGTGTCCGATGACGAATTTCCCCACGAATCATTATCACTCAGTTCTGCAAGTGGTTCTGATTTACTATCGCTGTTCTCTAGCTGGTCTAAAACCGATTTTGACCTAAAGGGACGCTTTTTGGACGCCATGGACATTTCTCAGTCTCCAGGCAGAAAGAACAGTAAAAATGCAGACAGGGCACAGGACAAAGCACTCGGGACAAAATGTATGTGAAATGGTTTGATACAGGAATGTTATACTATGTGATTTTAGTGTACGTATTTAGTGAATGTCACTTTTTGTTATTTTCAAATTTCCCACCAGTTCCGTCCCCCGTACGTCCCGACGCTCGCAGGGGACGGAACCTAGATGACAGATGCCGGCATCAGCCGGATTACATTGCCGGGGACACCGCAGGAGGGACATCGCGGGAGCGCAGGACAAGGTAAGTGAAGAACAGATGCCGGAGCAGCGCCACATGGTAAGCCCGAGTGTAGCTCGGGGTTACCGCTTTTGGTACTGAAACTTTACCCCGAGCTACACTCGGGAATACCTCCAGGGAGGTTAATTGCATCCCCATGCATCTGAAAATGCAGCACGTTTTTGTTTGCGGGAAAACACATGATACAAAAGTGCCATGTGATTTCCCTCTGGGTGCATTTAAAAAAAAAAAAAGAAAAAAAAAGGTGCATGGACCTTTTTCTTGCATGAAACACAGGCACAGAAAGATATAAATGTTTAAATGGCTGAATTTAGCAGTTGTCTAATAAGCACAGTGGCTAAATGCTTAGCACTTCTGCCTGGCAGTACTAGGATTGTTGGTTCAAATCCCAACCATGGCACCACCTGTGTGAAGCTTGCCCTGTGCCTGCGTGGGTTTCCTCCACACTCTATAGACATGCTACTTCTCCTACTACGCCTGGCAGTACTCTGGGCACTTCTGTTTCTTCCACACTCCAAAGACATGCTGCTACTTCTAGTACGCCTGACAGTACGAGGGTCGTTGATTCAAATACCAACCACGGCACCACCTGCCTGGAGCTTACATTTTCTCCCTGTGCCTGCGTGGGTTTCCTCGGGGTACTCCAGTTTCCTCCACACTCCAAAGACATGCTGGAAGGTTAATTGCCCACATGGAAGAAAAATATATTTTAAAAATATCCTTCCCAAATATATATTTGAAATACTACATTTTTCTTCCATGTGGGCAATTAACCTTCCAGCATGTCTTTGGAGTGTGCAGGAAACTGGAGTACCCCAAGGAAACCCACACAGGGTTTTTGGCAGTATTCCATTTTTAAAAAAAAATAAAGGATTATATATATATATATATATATATATATATATATATTATGTTGAAATGCGTTTTTTATAATACAAAATAAAATGAAAAATATTTTTAAAAATACATTTTCAAATATACTGTATGTCTTTAAAAATACATTTAATCTACATGTTTGGAATGCATGTAAAAATATATGCCAAAATGACTTTTTTTTTTATAGGTTAATATTTTTAAAAATTTCATATATTTTGTAATCTATAAAATAAATCATTTCAACATACAGTTTGTATATATGTGTATATGTGTGTATATATATATATATATATATATATATATATTTATATATATATATAGAATATGGCCAAAATTGTAGTATTTCAAATATATGTCAATATATTTGGGAAGAATATTTTTAAAATATATTTTTTTTCCATGTGGGTGGCTCCTGTCTATTTTGGCTTTAGTATGTGTATGCATGGATGTAAATTAGGGACCTTAGATTGTACGCCCCTTGAGGGTTAGGGACTGATGTGAATGTACAATATATATATGTAAATTGACGGCACTAAATAAGTACCTGAAATAAATGAATAAATGTAAAGCAGATTAGGGTTTTTAGTAAGAATAACGGCAATGTTAAAGTTCTACACTGCAATGTAAACACTCTGTATAATCTTACCGGAACACAAGGAGGAATCTTCTGCTACAGTGAGAGCTTCTAAGAATACAGCATGAAAATGAAATCATTCTTTGCTGAGCAACAGGTTACTAGAGCAAACAACTGCTACGACTACAATTCTTGGAAACAGTCCAAATTACAACTGGTTGCTTCTTTTTTGAAAACTCCAAATTTTAGTGCACATTATTTTCTGTACATTTCTAGATAATCATTCAGTTTGTCACTTCGGAATTATGAAATTCGAGTAAGTTATTCATACACACAAAGCTACGCCTTGCTAGCAAAAACCACCCTTTGTGGATATATACGTACTTTTTTTTTTTCCACAAATTTCTTCTCTATGCTCTGAGTCTGCAAGCAGGGAATGCCCGTTTTGTATGTTATTCTAAAAACCGTACTCATAAAGCCGATTGATGCACCATCTTGAGTGGAGACAATACAGTAAGAAAAATATTTTTGCTCTTGTGTTAGAACTGTGTGTGCCAATCAGGAAACTGTACTGTATTGTTTGTAGAGGAGACGCCCAACCACACTGCTTGTAATACTTGCGCACTCACGAGAAGAATCATTTGAACTTTCGTAGAATGACCTCATCTGTCCTTTCTGTATTTGTAATTCTTAAAGGAAACCTGTTATAGGAGGAGCTCTGTAATGAGTCATATAGAGTAAAGAACCTGCCTTAGATGGGTGTGATATATACAGTACATAGAGAGAGAGAGAGATCATTGTTCCCCTGTACAAATCATTAGTAAAACCTCATCTGGAATATGCAGTTCAGTTTTGAGCCCCAATTCACAAAAAGAACATTGGGGAACAGGAGAAAGTACAGATAAGGGCAAACAAACTGATAAGAGGCATGGAGGAGCTCAGCTATGAGGAAAGATTAGAGGAACTGAATTTATCTTCTCTTGAGAAGAGGAGATTAAGGGGGATATGATCAACATGTATAAATACATCAGTGGTTCATATAGTGAACTCGGTGTAGAGCTATTCACCCTGAGGACAAGGGGGCACTCTTTACGTCTTGAGGAAAAGACATTTAAGCTGGGTTCACACCAGGGGCGGACTGACAACTCATGGGGCCCCCAGGCAATAGCGGATCATGGGGCCCCTGTGTCTTTGCCCAAACTCAAAAAAGCCTATGAAAAAGGTATCAGGGGCATCTCATGGGGCCCCCTACTGACCTCGGGCAGTGCCCGAGTTTCCAAATGGTCAGTCTGCCCCTGGTTCATACTGATGCGGTGTTGAATTTGCAGCGTGTTCTATGCAATTCCACACTGCATCATAATCACACCCCATTCATGCGAACTGATGTGAGTGTGTATGTTAACAACACCCAAAAATCGGTCTGCAAAAACACAGTGTGATGTGCAGAATCAGATTGCCTAGGTGTGAATACCCATGCGATCCGATTCTAGTGCGGACCCAAAAAAGGGTCCTGCACCTTTTTGGTGCGGGTGCGGTGCAATTTGAGCCATGCAATATGTATGACTTAAATCACAACGTACACAAATCTCATGTGATTTGCACAGGAATGCGGTGCGGTTCCTGTGCAAATCACATGCAATGTACCGCACCGCATTAGTGTGAACCTAGCCTTAATCTCCAAACACGAAAAAGTTTCTTCACAGTAAGAACTGTGAAAATGTGGCATAGACTCCCTCAAGACTTGGTTCTCGCCAGCTCAGTGGATTGTTTTAAAAAAGTCCTGGATTCTTTCTTAGATGCACAGAATATAACTGGATACTAACATTTATAGGTAAAGTTGATCCAGGGAATATCCGAATGCCTCTCGGGTGATCAGGAAGGATTTTTTTTCCTCTGCAGGAGCAAATTGGATCATGCTTTGCTGGGTTTTTTGCCATCCTCTGAATCAACTGTGGGTGTAGGATTATAACTTTTTTTTTTTTTTTAATTTTATGGTTGAACTGAATAGACTTTTGTCTTTTTTCAGCCGGACTAACCATAACATTATGACCACTGAGAGTTAAAGTGAATAACATTGTTTATCTTATTACAATGGTATCTGAAAATCAGTGGGATATTATAAGCAGGAAGTGATCATGTTGCCCTGAAGATGTTGAAAGCAGAAAAAATGGGCAGGCATAAGGATATGAGTGACTTTGACAAAGGCCAAATGTAATGGGTAGATGACTGGGTCAGAGCAAAACTGCTCTCTTGTGAGATTTGCTCGGGTCTGCAGTGGTCAGGACCTACCAAAAAGTGGTCCAAGGAAGGAAAACCGGTGAACCAGCAACAAGGTCATAGGTGCACTTCAGTTCAATCCAAAAGAAGAGCTACTGTAGCTCAAATTGCTGAAAATGTTCATGCTGGTGCCCAAAGAAAGGTGTTAAAACAAAGTAAATTGCAATTTATAGGGTATTGAGTTGTGTAGATGCAGACTGATCAGGTCCATGTCCATGCTGACCCGTGTCCACAGCAAAAAGCGCCTACAATGGGCACATGAGCATCAGAATTGGACAATGGAGCAATGGAAGGTGGCCTGGTCTGATGAATTAAAGAATAGTTGAGGTATTGACTTGGTCTCCAAATTCTCCAAGATCTCAATCCAATTGAGCATTTGTGGGATGTGCTGGAAAAACAAGTCTGATCCATGGAAGCTCCACCTCGCAACTTACAGGACTTAAAGAATCTACTATTGACAGCTTGATGCCAGATACCACTATACGCAGGTACAGTTAGGTTTTAATTTAAATGTAGGTGGAGAGTTGATAACTACGTTATATTACCATGGAAGGAATTATCCCTGAACAATAGTCAATTAGAAAACCCAATTACATGGGAATATACACTATATTGCCAAAAGTATTGGTCGGCCTGCCTTTACACGCACATGAACTTTAATGGCATCCCAGTCTTAGTCCGTATGGTTCAATATTGAGTTGGCCTGCCCTTTGCAGCTATAACAGCTTCAACTCTTCTGGGAAGGCTGTCCACAAGTTTTAGGAGCGGGTCTATGGGAATATTTTGCCATTCTTCCAGAAGCCCATTTGTGAGGTCAGGCACTGATGTTGGATGAGAAAGCCTGGCTCACGGTCTCCGCTCTAATTCATAGCAAAGGTGTCCTGTTGGGTTGAGGTCAGGACTCTGCACAGGTCAGTCAAGTTCCTCTATCCAAAATTCGCTCATCCATGTCTTTATGGACCTTGCTTTGTGCACTGGTGCGCAGTCATGTTGGAACAGTAAGGGGCCATCCCCAAACTGCTCCCACAAAGTTGGGAACATGGAATTGTCCAAAATGTCTTGGTATGCTGACGCCTTAAGAGTTCCCTTCACTGAAACTAAGAGGCCAAGCCTAACCCCTGAAAAACAACCCCACACCATAATCCCCCCTTCACCAAACTTTACACTTGGCACAATGCAGTCAGGAAAGTACCGTTCTCCTGGCAACCACCAAACCCAGACATGTCCATCGGATTTCCAGACAGAGAAGTGTGATTCACCACTCCAGAGAACATGTCTCCACTGCTCTAGAGTCTAGTGGTGGCATGCTTTACACCACTGAATCCGATGCTTTGCATTGCACTTGGTGATGTAAGGCTTGGATGCAGCTGCTCAGCCATGGAAACCCATTCCATGAAGCTCTCTATGCACTGCTGTTGTGCTAATCTGAAGGCCACACCAAGTTTGAAGGTCTGTAGTTACTGACTCTGCAGACAGTTGGCGACTTCCACTCACTGTGCCCTTCAGCATACGCTGTCATTTTACGTTGCTTTTGTTCCCAGTTGCTTCCACTTTCTTATAATACCACTATCAATGACACAATTGCGATAAACAATAGTTATAAGAAAGTCCAGCCATCTTGGTGAGTTATTTTATACCGTTTGTTTGTACTCTCCACGTGGATACTCTGTACCTTTTAATAAAGTACTACACTATTAGCCGATTTTCTCTGGCCCTTTTGTGAGCAAACTCCTCAGGATTTCTCATCACGGTTTGCATGCTGCTTGGTGTCATCATTCCTATCTGAAATCATCCTGATCTTCATGGTCCTATGACTGATGGGTGTGCTGCCTCACTTACCTGGGGAAGAATCCAGCTGTTCATGCGCATTTTATATGTGCTTCTGGTGAGTGCATATAAACAATACTTTTTCACGGATTCACCAGCACTGGATGTCCCCTGTTCACGGATTTATTTTCTGGAATTTCTTATAACTGTTGTTTATCGCAATTGTATCATGTGATATATGTTCACTATCAGTCACTATTCATTTTATATCACCCAACACTGACCACTCAGTGTTAAGGATACCATCACCACACTTATCAGTATATTAATTATTGTTATATTAATAACTCATGAACTCTCACACTTTAGACTGGTAGCGCTGATCAAAGCACCTCACTGTGTCTGCCTTTTAATATTGCTGCTATTCGTTCTATTGCTGCTTCTATTCACCTTATTATTTGTTTATGTATATGCACATGTTTTAGAAGTATTTCATTTGATTCATTCATTACTTTAGCGATGCACCTTTTATATTTCAGTCACTAGAGAGGATACCAAGGGCCGTCCTTTAGTGCTAGCAGCTTATACTTTTCTACACACCCATAGCGCTCACGGACATTCCATATACATAATAACACTAACAGTTGAGCGTAGAATATTTAGTAGCAAGGAAATTTCACGGATGGACCTATTGCACAGGTGGCAACCTATCATGGTTCCACACTTGAATTCACTGAGCTCCTGAGAGCGACCCATTCTTTCACAAATGTTTGTAGAAGCAGTCTGCATGCCTAGGTGCTTTATTTTATACATCTGTGGCCATGTAGGTGATTGGAACACCTGAATCCAATGATTTACTGTAGAGGGATGTCCCAATACTTTTGGCGATGAAGTGTGTGTATGTGTATATATATATATATATATATATATATATATATATATATATATATATATATATATATATACAGGTGAAACTAAAAAAATTAGAATATCGTGCAACAGTTCATTTATTTCAGTAATGCAACTTAAAAGGTGAAACTAATATATGAGATAGACTCATTACATGCAGAGCAAGATAGTTCAAGCCGTGATTTGTCATAATTTTGATGATTATGGCTTACAGCTCATGGAAACCCCAAATCCACAATCTCAGAAAATTAGAATATTGTGAAAAGGTGCAATATTCTAGGCTCAAAGTGTCCCACTCTAATCAGCTAATTATGCCATAACACCTGCAAAGGGTTCCTGAGCCTTTAAATGGTCTCTCAGTCTGGTTCAGTAGGAATCACAATCATGGGAGACTGCTGACTTAGACAGTTGTGCAGAAAACCATCATTGACACCCTCCATAAGGAGGGAAAGCCTCAAAAGGTAATTGCAAAAGAAGCTGGATGTTCACAAAGTGCACAAGCAGCAGGGATGACCTCAGCCTGGAGAGGATTGTCAGGAAAAGGCCATTCAAAATTGTTGGGGACTTTCACAAGGAGTGGACTGAGGCTGGAGTTAGTGCATCAAGAGCCACCACACACAGACGGATCCTGGACATGGGCTTCAAATGTCGTATTCCTCTTGTCAAGCCGCTCCTGAACAACAAACAACGTCAGAAGCGTCTTACCTGGGCTAAAGAAAAACAGACCTGATCTGTTGCTCAGTGGTCCAAAGTCCTCTTTTCTGATGAGAGCAACTTTTGCATCTCATTTGGAAATCAAGGACCCAGAGTATGGAGGAAGAATGGAGAGGCACACAGTGCAAGATGCTTGAAGTCCAGTGTGAAGTTTCCACAGTCTGTGTTGATTTGAAGAGCCATGTCATCTGCTGGTGTTGGTCCACTGTGCTTCATTAAGTCCAGGGTCAACGCAGCTGTCTACCAGGAGATTTTGGAGCACTTCATGCTTCCTTCCGCAGATGAGCTTTATGGGGATGCTGACTTCATTTTTCAGCAGGACCTGGCACCTGCCCACACTGCCAAAAGCACCAAAACCTGGTTCAATAACCGTGGGATTACTGTGCTTGATTGGCCAGCAAACTCTCCTGACCTGAACCCCATAGAGAATCTATGGGGCATTGCCAAGAGAAAGATGAGAGACATGAGACCTGAACAATGCAGAAGAGCTGAAGGCCGCTATTTAAGCACCCTGGTCTTCCATAACACCTCAGCAGTGCCACAGGCTGATAGCTTCCATGCCACGCTGCATTGAGGCAGTAATTGCCGCAAAAGGGGCCCAAACCAAGTACTGAGTACATATGCATGCTTATACTTTTTAGAGGTCCGATATTGTTCTATGTACAATCCTTGTTTTATTGATTGCATGTAATATTCTAATTTTCTGAGATTGTGGATTTGGGGTTTTCATGAGCTGTAAGCCATAATCATCACAATTCTGACAAATCACGGCTTGAACTATCTTGCTTTGCATGTAATGAGTCTATTTCATATATTAGTTTCACCTTTTAAGTTGCATTACTGAAATAGATGAACGTTTGCACGATATTGTAATTTTTCGAGTTACACCTGTATATATGCTTCAGATAGTCAAGACGCAAAAGGTAGAAAAAAAATAAATATATATATATGCAATTTATTCCAGTGTTTCTGTTCCTGGAATGACAAGCAGAGGGTCATGAGCTGGACAGAGAGAGCCTAAGGCAGGCCAGAGCCCTTTGAGTGAGTACTAATGACCCTGGGAAGGAGAGAGACTGTAAAAAGCAAGCTGGCTGCAGGGTGAAGTGTTGAATGCTGCTTTCTCATGTAACTGCTGTGGATTGTCTACTATATGTCATTGACAAAGTATTGTCAAGTGACCCCAGATAGGATGTCTATGTGATGTGACTGTAATTGTCATCTTCTGGTAGTTTTTTGTGGACATTCTCTACTTCAGTATATAAAAGGCTAATGGAGGGGGATATCATGGGAAGGCCTCTGGCAAGGGGTTGGGCACAAGATTATAGAGGTTTAAGGCTTTGAGCAGGAGGGAGGTGTGTTGTTCTAGCAAGAAGATGCGGGGCAAGGACTTGTATCAATCGCCGCCAACTTGGGTCAAATGTTCAATTACACCTCAGCATACCTTCAGAGCTCTAGTGGAGTCTATTCCTCAACAGGTTATGGTGGGTGGTCATAATGTTATGGAGGATAGGTGTATGTACAAGGTTTCAGCTCATTTAACCATTATAGCACAGTGCACATGAGGGATTAAAATTATTGAGTGTGGTTTCTCTTATAATATGTTTTAGTCAATATTTTTTTTTGGTTTGACACTGTTTGGATAGTTTGCTATAATAAGTTATTATAGGACCTTGGGTGTTAGTACATCCGATCTGTGTACAACCTCCATCCTCCTGTAGGCTGTCCACACAGGTCTAGGCCTGCGAGGACATTATTTAAAAGGTCAGCTGGCGGACCTCTTTTTTTTTCGTTTTTTGCTTACTTTTGTTGGTCACTGGGTTTCTGTGGCTTTCAGTAATTTAGATACAGACATGCTAACGTGTCCCCTTTTTTTCACATTCTTTCCCTCTTTTACTCCCCCCCCCCCCCTTTTTTTTTCCTGAAAGAGAAGGTTCTGTTGTGCTTGCAAAGTAGCCTTTCCTCTTCTTTTTGGTTAAATAGGTAAAATTTAGATTTGTTCTTCAGATGTCAGAGATTTTGTCTCACCACAGAAAAGATCCCAGAATCTGTATGGTATGTATGAATAGAAAATACAGACTTTATTTCTTATCATTTTGAGATAAGACCCCCTCCGTTCATAATCAATATTTTACTAAGTGGATATTTAGCTCCAACGCTATGCAAAAATCAAATGAAGCTGGCATGGGGATCCATGTTTCCCTTTTATTTGAAATAGTCAGCAGTTCCACCTGTCAGTACTAGGGTTGTTGGTTTGAATCCCAGCCATGGCACCACCTGCCTGGAGTTTGCATGTTCTCCCTGTGCCTGCGTAGGTTGCCTCCGGGTACTCCGGTTTTCCTCCCACACTCCAAAGACATGCTGATAGGTGAATTGGCTCCTATCTAAATTGGCCCTAGTATGTGTATGTATGAATGTGAATTCGGGACCTTAGATTGTACGCCCCTTGAGGGTTAGGGACTGATGTGAATGTACAATATTTATGTAATGCACTGCGTAAATTGACAGCTCTATATAAATACCTGAAATAAATAAATAATAAATAGTTCAGTGATATAGTGATTCAGAGGGGAGATATGTTTTTGTAACAGGTTGATTATTTGAAAAGCCAATTACTCTGGCTAATATAGATTTACCTAATCAATAACACGTACCATTTTCACTATCATTGCTTTCTCAGCTTGGGGATTTTGCTGAGGGAATGGTAACAAAAAAGGTGAAAAAAAAAAGCCTGTCACATAATAGGGTAAATAAATCTTAGCATATTATTGTGAGTGATCAGTAGATCCAGAATTATAGATAGCTGGCATTCTATCTAAATTTTTACTTTTTCTATAAAATTTTAGATCAGCCCTGTTCCTTCCCATGGTCCTTTTATGTGATGGGGGCCTCATCAAGTAGTAAGGAGTCTTGGGAGGTGAGGCCAAACTCAAGTCAAGTAATGAATCGTGCATGGACATTCTGCCAGTTTCCCACCATACGGTACTCTAGGAGAGGTGGAAACTTAAGGAGTGCAGTTTCATCTGACCCGACTGGGAACATACATCAGTCCTGCAGTAGGGACATAAGTGCTATATGACCTCACTTAACGGTTTGGTCATATATTCCAGGTGAGAGCACATCTGGTGAAGGGTGGTGTGTCACTATGTTGGAAATATTAATTTGGCACAAACGGTGTGTTGGAAGAAGCTTCTACACTTTACAGCAGTTTGTAGAGGAGAGTTCAGGGGTCAGGTGTAAGTGACACAGAGTCCAGGGGTCAGGTGTAAGTGACACAGAGTCCAGGGGTCAGTAGTATATGACACAGAGCACTGATTTTGCCTAAATGTGGGAGGAGCTTGTTGTAAATGTATATTATACATAATGTATAGAATGCAAAGGAGTAACAAAACAACATATAGTGTACACCATCATGTAGAGCCCACTTGTTCACATCAGATTCACCCTTTACATCAAGAATCACCAATACAATTCCTCCTCCCACAAGTTCCCAAGAGTTCCCCCCCCCCCCCCCCCAACCTCAGGGTCCCCAGAGTAATCCTCTTTACATCAGGGTTCCCAGAGTAATCCCATAATCCCCCTTACATCACAATTCCCAGGGTAATCCCCCTTACATCAGGGTCCCCACAATCACCCACTTAACATCAAGGTCCCTGGGGTTGCTCAGCCTTATCTCAGGGTCCCCAGAGCACCCCCCCTTCCCCCATTGCTTACATCAGGATCCCTAGAGTAATCCCCCTTACATCATGGTCCCCAGAATAATCCCCCACTGGGATGCGGGAATCAAGCAAATTTGCATAATGCATGGCTTGCCTTAGAGTAGCGAAACAATCAATTGCACAGCAGTAAAGGGTTAAATTAAGTGACCCCAACTATCTTGGGCTTTTCTATGGCTACAGGTAGATGACCTTCCATCTGGATGAGAGATATTATAACCAATATAGAGTTGTGTGGGTATTTTGTTCTTCTGTTTGTATTTTCCAGGCCCATGAGCAGGGGCGGACTGACAACTCATGGGGCCCCCGGGCAATAGGGAATCATGGGGCCCGTGTCCTTGCCCAAACTCAAAAAAGCCTATGAAAAAGGTATCATGGGCATATCATGGGGCCCCCTACTGACCCCGGGCCCTCGGGCGGTGCCTGAGTTTCCAAATGGTCAGTCCGCCCCTGCCCATGAGCTTCTTTACCTATTACTGGAGATAATTTATTGTGGACTAAGTTTAGAAGCTGTCTGTGTCTTATTCCCTAGTGAGGGATTGCATAAATATTGGCCTTCATGGTTTATACATCTTTTCAAGCATAGAGGTAAAGTATTCTCATGAAAATAGGCCCATGTCGTAATACCTACATTATAGTAGGATGTTACTTGACTAATTTATATATTATGGTCTTTCTTAGGCCCATTTTTGTCTTGGTACTATTAACCAGAAGATAGTTGGACTAGTATACGGAGTCTGCGTTTTTACCTGTGGACCGTTTGGGGAGTCTCGTGGGTCTCTCGCCTACTCATAGCCTGGTCTTTTCACCCCCATACCCAACATTTGGAGACTACCACTTTGTGTCGGCCTGAGGGAACCTGCAGTTGCTTGCCCTAGGGAGTCCATTACTATACAATGCACACTGGATAATTATGTAAGTGGTGACAAATGTTTTGTATACTGTGTTTTGTCTAAATCATATATACATATATTGTTTAAGCCTGTTTATCATTCTCAGATACATTGCTAGCCCCTGAAGAAGCAACCTTTGTCACGAAACATGTTGGGCGTTGATTGCACAGCTTGAATATCCCCCACCTTCTGGAAGAAATATCCTTTTCTCACATCTGTACTTAACACACTTGATGGAACCAGTTTTTTATGGTTGGTTGGTTGTGGTCTGTTAGCTGTGAGGTAATTTGTGCAATATAACTGTATACAAGATACAATTTAGAGGTGATGTGTTAATAAAAGAAAATTGATTTTATTTTTTTGTGTACTGAGTTTTTGTGCCTAAAAAGTCCATCCAATATCTTTCTCTCTTAAATTAAAGTAAACATTCTCACCTGATAACAGAAACTTCAGTGTATAGCTACTGCCCAACTGATGGTGTACCTCCACTCTATACTGACAGGTCCAGCAAGCATGCATGAACGATCAGTGCACATTCTAGATCAGCTTTATTTGCTGCCGGGCTGATTGTCAGTGTGCAGCGATCGTTCAGTATAGAGTGGAGGTGGAAATACTCGATCAGGCTGGCAGTAAATCAGGCTGTGTGTGGAAAAAGTTCTGTGATCAGGGGAGAAGATTTCCTTTAATCCCACACAGTATTCTGTGTCTTCCTTTACAAGGAGATGAGAGCTGCTGGAGCTCTCATTGGGGCCCTGCCTGTATGCAGTGCACCTTCCTTGTCACATTCCTGGAAGAAGTAGTTAGCGTTTCCATGGCTGAGCAGCTGCATCCAAGCCTTACATTACCAAGTGCAATGCAAAGCACCACTGGACTCTAGAGCAGTGGAGACGTGTTCTCTGGAGTGACCAATCACACTTCTCTGTCTGGAAATCTGATGGACACGTCTGGGTTTGGCAGTTGCCAGGAGAACAGTACTTGCCTGACTGCATTATGCCAAGTGTTAAGTTTGGTGAAGGGGGGATTATGGTATTGAGTTTTCTTGCAGGGGTTGGGCTTGGCACCTTAGATCCAATAAAGGGAACTCTTAAGGTGCCAGCATACCAAGACTTGATGTACAATTTCATACTCCCAGCTTTGTGGGAACAGTTTGGGGATCGCTACTTCCTGTTCCAACATGACTGCTCACCAGTGCACAAAGCAAGGTCCATAAAGACATGGATGAGCGAGTTTGGGGTGGAGGAACATGACTGGCCTGCACAGAGTCCTGACCTCAACCCCATAGAACACCTTTGGAATTAATTAGAGTGGAGACTGTGAGCCAGGCCTTCTCATCCAACATCAGTTCCTGACCTTATAAATGTGCTTCTGGAAGAATGGTCAAACATTCCCATAGACACCCTCCTAAACCTTGTGGACGGCCTTCCCAGAAGAGTTGAAGCTGTTATAGCTGCAAAGGGTGGGCCAACTCAATATTGAACCCTACGGTCTAAGACTGGGATGCCATTAAAGTTCATGTGTGTGTACAGGCAGGAGTCCCAATACTTTCTGCAATATAGTGAATGTAATGCTGATTTCTTGCTCATTGCCTGTGATCGAATTGCAATTTATTTGTTTTTCAATTAGCAGAAGTTAAATCTGAAGGATGACACAATGATTTAATCCTGAATAAAACAACGAACCTCTCTGCCTATGTCATCTATTTGCACCTCACTGATTTTCTACAAATAAAATGGATTCAAGAAAACAATTGTGGAGTGGATGACAAGAGCTGCTTCTGTGTTCTGCCAACCAAACTGCAAGGCACTGTGGGTAAGGTAGTTCTGCTGCTGCTGCAGTGCCATGCGGTGGAGGAAAGAGGGAACTACAACCCCCAGCTGCTCCTCGCTGCTCCCTGACTCTGGGATCAGTGGCATAGATTGCCTGCACTTCCCAGCCCCTCTCCCTGGCTGCACAGCTCAGGATCCCTGGATCTGCTGCTGGGCTGCACACACTGATAGATCAGGTAGGGGAAGGGGATGGCATAGTGTGGATGATGCTTATATGGGGTGCATGTGATAAGAAGAGCTGATGCTGCATCAGATGCATTATAGACTCCATATGGTGGAAACAATAGGCTGCTGCTGGGGACAGGTTGTGGGTTGGCAGCTGCAGGTGGGGAGAGGGCTGGCACTGAGCTGGCTCCTGCTGTTGCACAGATCTTGATCAGAGACAATGCTGTATTATGCTGGAATGGGGTTGGTATCCTGTACACGGGATAGGGGAGAGGTAACCACATGTATGTACAGTGTATAGAAGAGCACAAAGTAATAGTAGGGAATAGCTACGTAGGGATGAACAGGATGCAGAGACAGAGGGATCAGGAAGAATCGATTTTCGGTTAGATTTTACAACAGACTGTTCCTTCCCCAGGTTCGTCCATTGCTTATTATCCCTTATGGATAAACTTCAGCTCAGTGCAGTTTTACACCAGCCGTAGGCAGATCAAAATTCTACCAGTTCAGCAGGAACCGGTTGAGATTCGATCCATCTATGGAAAAGCATACTAAAGTTGATCCATTGATCGACCTCAGTACAACCGGTCTGTCGGGTTTTTGTTCGCCCAATGACCACTGGTGGCTATCGCTGCCAGGTGTGATCGTTGCATTCTGCTGGTGGAGAAGGCTCCCCATGCTCCCCACACTGGCAGAACACAAATATGCCACACTGACTGTGTTGATGGGGGAATTGAGACATTTTTTTTCTTTCAATTTGTGGCTGAAGGAAAGAAAATTGTATCATCTATGGCCTGCCTTAGATGCAAAGAACTGGAGGTGAAGACACCAAGACAAGAAAATTTTGGTAAAAAAAAAAAAAAAATGCAATTTGGAAGGTTTTAGGACGAATACGCTTTTAGCAACAGGGAATATTCCAGCACCCGGGAGGAACGGATACAGCGTACAGCCCGCTGTCAGCAGCTTTGTTAAGCTGAGTATACACTAATAGAATTTCAAATGAAAATTTCTACAAAAATTCTCAGAAAGTTCAAATGTTGTTGGCAAAATTTTGAAATTAATGGATTTTACCGAATGAATACTACATACACTGTTAGAAATTCGTACATTTGAGAAAAAAGTTTCATCCTGCTCTATTGAATTTTCCCATCCCGGAGGTAGAAAACGAATGCAGATTTACCCCACTAGTGATTCAAAAAAGGAAATTCTGTTAGTATAAAGCCAGCTTCAAGCTGGCCATAGATGGAATGAAATTTGGCCAGCTCAGCAGAAACCGGTTGAATTACTATCCATCTGTAGTTGTTGGCATATTTTCATTCCAGCAGGGTCTGCAGTCATTCGGCTGCTGTGCCAACCAGCGTATTCTGACAGAGGGGGAATCCCGTTGTCAGAATACAATAGTGCAGCAGGGAGGATGCCTTCATCCACCACGACTGTATGGATAAGGGAATCTGTTCCCTTTTTTTTTTTTTATATTTTGTCAGCTGGCGGGTTGAGGGCAGTGTTAGTTCAGAAATATATGAACGTGGAATTTTTGCATTTGGGGCATACACTCAGAACAGCACACCCCTGCTGTATATTTCAGCCTGTCATTGATTCTAATAGGGCTGCTGACAGCAAGTTGTATGTTGCACCTGTTTCTCCAACAGGACTGGATTTAGCCTGTCTGATGTGGGGGTGCAGTAAAAAATGTCAGGGGGGCAGACGATGAGCGGTCAGCAGGGCCAGAGGACAGGGGTCACTGCCGGCAGGGCGGACAGGGGTCACTGCCGGCAGGGCCGCAGGACAGGGGTCACTGCCGGTAGGGCCGGAGGACATAGTGTCAGGCTAGGGCAGTATAGTGCCAGGGGCGGAGGACAGGGGTCACTGCCAACAGGGGCGGAGGACAGGGGTCACTGCCAGCAGGGGCGGAGGACAGGGGTCACTGCCAGCAGGGGCGGAGGACAGGGGTCACTGCCGGCAAGGGCGGAGGACAGGGGTCAGGGCAGAAGACAGGGGCACAACTCCTTCTCCCATCCTTGCACTGTCCACAGGCAGCAGAGCTCCTCCACTTCACACGATGCATTACTGAGATCAGTATAGTGTCAGTTTAGGGCGGTATAGTGCCAGTCAAGGACAGTATAGTGTCAGGTTAGGGCAGTATAGTGTCAGTCAAGGGCGGTATAGTGTCAGGCTAGGGCGGTATAGTGTCAGGTTAGGGCAGTATAGTGTCAGGTTAGGGGGCGGTGTAGTGTCAGGTTAGGGCGGTATAGTGTAATGTTAGGGCGATATAGTGTCAGGTTAGGGCGGCATAGTGCCAGGTTAGGGCTGTATAGTGTCAGATTAGGGCAGTAAAGTATCTGAATAGGGTGGTATAGTGGCAAGTTAGGGCAGTATAATGGCAGATTAGGGCAGCATAGTGTCAGGTTAGGGAAGCATAGTGGCAGGTTAGGGAGGTAAAGTATCTGATTAGGGCGGTATAGTGTCAGATTAGGGTGGTATAGTGTCAGGTTAGGGTGGCATAGTGTCAGGTTGGGGCTGTATAGTGTCAGGCTAGGGCGGCATAGTGTCAGGCTAGGGCGGGTATAG